CCCGGTTTCATTCAATTTTTTGCTTTCCTTTTCTTGTTCCTTCTGTCTGTTGATGGCACTCTGCCAACAACTGGAGTCAGTCAGTGGGAAAACTCTGTTAGTAGTCTATGCCCTGTGGGACGAAGTGGCAACAACATTCGCTACAACAGATAGTGGGGCATCCAAAATTTAACTGGTTGAGTGATTTTGTGTCTAACGGATGCATCCAGTGAGCTTCTGTGTTTGAACTGCTCAAACACAGGCATGGAGGTAGGTTATTATACATCCATGTCTGAGTTGCACTATTCATGCTTGGTTGAAGTCTCTGTACCTGAAAAGCTCTTATGAGAGCTTTGCTCTTTTTTGTAGTGTGTGTAGTTCTACTGGATTGAATCCTACCCTACCAATGAATATTTGGCCATGATTTGGTTACATGAATGCAGTAAAAAAAAAAAAAAAAGCAAACATGTATATAAACAATATAAGAACATTTAATATTCAAGAACTATTACAGTCATATTCAAAATGAAAATATTCCTATTGTAAAATAAAGCAACCTTTGTGCAGGAAATAAACACATTTCTCATGACAAGCATATTTTGTATTGATTATTCACTGGATAGATGTAATACTCTAATCCTATATGTTGTATGTTCACTAACTGTAGGCAGGAAATTGTCACACAGGAGGAATAAAAGCTTGAAATCTTCACTCTGTGCATAACGTATCTATGGAATGTATTGAATCTAGCGAATTAAGTTTATTAAGTTTTCTATAACTTTCTAACTTACCCAAGATGATTGTAAAAACCATGTGAAACATGAGGGAGCTGTCAAACATTTATTTAAAGAATAAATACACGTCAAAGTAAAACGATGAACAAAGTTTTAAAAAGACTTATATTTTGTTCAACAATGACTGCAATTAATTGTGAGAAATGAATTAGGACACTTGCACATCTCTTCTAATTTGAAATGACTAAAATGACATATGCATATATCACATCAAGTGCAATTGATACGAATATTGGGCATCAGGCAACAGCGCATTCTCTTCCTTGTTTTCCTACTATGGGCTTCAACGAGGCACCACATCAGATTCAACAAACATCCTTAACTTCAGATAACTGCGTAAATGATCCTTCTAAAAATGATACATCCTACCTGTACATAAGTGAGAAGCAGTAAAAGCCAAGCAGTGAGTAATAAATCACAAGAGCAATAAAAGCCATTTTGCCTGTTGGTTGCAATTTTGCAAAAGTAAAAATAAAAATTATTTGATTCAAAATTGATTTCAAAAAAATTTCTAGCAAAAGCAAGAGTATAATGGAAACTGGTGGTCGAGGTAAGGGGAACACCATATGATGTAAATGCTTTGCCATCAATCAACACGACACAACAGTGCAGAATCCTCTTTTAATGCTAAAGCACACATGTATTCTACATTTCCAGATCATATCTGTCATCCTGTCTCATACAACACATTAACATAGAAATGTTAACGGTTAAACTTTATTTTGATGAATTAAGACAGACCCAAACCCATGGATTCCACACGTGTAATGCTGCTATTCAGTGAAATAAATTAATGTCTATTAGAATTTAAGGTTGAGCCTCCTTTCTGAACTGTCCATCCTTTTCTGTTCAAGATATTATTGCAATAGTTCACTGCCTACACTTTCTTCAATTAAATAACAACAAATTAAACCAGTTTCCCATAGGAATTGACATGCCACCTAAAGATGAAGTGGCCAATTCTCTCATCAGCGGATAAATATTTTATTTATATGTGCAAAGTTTCATAATGCATTCTGTCATGGTATAGCCTAATTCATTCTGGATTTTAAAATGGACGATTGCTTCAAAATAACAACAAACTTGGTCACCTTGTGAAAAAACAAGGCTTGGATAACTGACTGCGCAAGACTTCTACATAAAGTCTTTAGCACTTTGGCAAGTTTCTTGCACCTGAGAGAAGATTAGAAATAGGAGAAAAATGGTTAATGCATTTTCTCCGAAAATACTAGTACAAACCATTTTAAGAACAAATGTGTTCAGACAGATGCCTCTTGCATTAGTCCCATTGTTCTAATCATTTGCATCTCATGGCTGGAGAACACCACTGTGAATCATGAAAAGTCACAAACAGCTGCCTGTCTGTATGAGAAAGATTGCAAAAGCTTAAGATTAGGAAAGAGAATTTTAAAAGGCCTTAAATCATCTTGAATCTGCTGACGCCAAAGTCCAAGGCAAAAAAATGTAGCTCTTGTGTATTTAAAAACAGAGGACTTTTCCTTTTTTTTCTTTCTTTGTTTCTTTGATTCATGCAGGTTTTCAGGGTGTATTTTAATTTTTGCTTTGACATTTCAAAAGGAATAGTAATTACAACTTCCAGGAAACAAAAAATGTAATATTTTTCATATTTCCTGAGGTAGTTATATAACTGTTGAAAAATAATCAATGCTACGGATCTATAATAAGTACTGCGGACATCATTATAGGTCCGTAGCACAAAAAGAAGGGAATATTGTCTCTTCCGTGTCAGAATGCCTAAAATGTCTCTTGTGAAATCAAAGTTTTCCTTGGCCTATTTTATGTGATAAAATGTTTGTTTGAATAGGAGTAATGATAGAGAAATCCTGTACTATTCAAAATGCTGTACTGTTTAGGGGGACAGAAAGCAGATGCCTTCCCCTCCCTACTCTAGACAGGGGTGAAGGGAAGGTCATGAGAAATCATTAGTTCACATAGCCTCCTTCATATTATGGTTAAAGTTTATGCCCTTCTGGGGTGAACGAGAAACAGTTATTTGAAATGTGTATCTGAGCAAATTCATTTCCTTTGATGAACTAAAGTGTTTCTCGTGAGAAGATTCAATGTTCATGTGTGTGTATGGTGTAGATTATTTTTAAATGTAGGGGTGTGATTCTGAATGCTTCAGAATCACACTCAGTTGGATTCAGCTGGTTTGTGCCATTCTCCTCAGCAGATTAAAATAAAAACGTTTTCTTCCTTGCATATCATATCAACTGTCAGTGCTCATTTTTACTCCACACTGTTTTCTTTTTGTTGTTTTTATGAAATATGCTATCGCTAAAAGCTAAAACACCTCAAAACATGCAAGTACGTGGTTCAAACCCCACAGTCTGCCACTCTGGGTCCCAGGATAATGTTCAATTTGAGTCTCGGAGACTCCGAGCTGCCCACTGGTCCCTAAGGCAGGCGTGGGTACACTTGCTGAAGTTTAAACTTGTTGAGGCAAAAACTTCAACAACACTTTGGAACAAACCCTATGAACATGGTTTGTCATGCAATTAAATTCATTACAAAGTTGCTAAAGTTTTTATCTCACTCGCTCATTGAACCTCTTCATGCACCTTGGAAGTTGGTGAAATTGTGCCAGAAACTTTTGGATCTTAAAAGTTTAACCTTCCCAATTAAAACTAATTCTAATGTTTATTTTATACTGTACATAGACATCCCTTAGATGAGTCAGTAATCATTATTTAGCCATTATTTTATCTTAGTTTAGATACACAAATATCATGTTTAAACACCCGTGTAATTAACACAAGAAAATATTTTTTCTTTTATTTTAAAGCTAATCATTTTAAGAATAGATGTGTTATTCCAACATCTTTACACTTTTAATATAAAGATTTTTATTTTATTTACCACCTGCCCTGGTAACAAATACCTCAGAGATGGGAGTCGGTTGTGCTAAAACAAAAAACGTAAATGTCTGGTGGTCAGCATAATTCATTAATTAGGAACAGGAGCTGAAAAATATATCTGAGGAAGATAAGAAAAGGAGTAGCAGTTGTATTCACCAAAAAAAAACAAATAAATAAAAATCATTGTTAATATAACCATAAGGATTTCATATTTATCAGTCTTGGCCCAAAACAGTCTGTGTGGATTACCATTAAAAGTCTAAAAACTGAAATATAGACTTAGTGTTTAAATTCATCATAATCATAGCCTAGAGGTCCACAGAGCATTTAGATATAGTCATACGCACTTTTGGACAGCAGTAGTTGAATGGAAACAGTAACTTTGTTTTTAGATGTTGACAGTTGTTCTTTGTGCTGAAATAAATCTCCAACTAGCCAAATTTATCTTTCTTGTAATTTCAGATAAAATATTGCAAGAACGTTTTTAAACCTCTGACTGGTGGTGCACAGCAATATGTGGGGGCAGGACAGTGGTTCTTCAGTTTAATTCATCTAGTTTTGACACTTTCTCTGCCATCTTGATAAAAATGAATCTGAACCTATGGAAATTGCATAACATAAAATATAACTGTGTCTTAAAAGGGAGTATGTTCCAATAAACCTGACCTGGCTCATACTGGGGTCCAAAATTTGATGCAAACTATTAGAACCCATTTTGAGCATTGACTTGGATATAATTTAAGCATTATGTTTTGTGATATAAATAGCTACTTTAAATGTATAAACTTAGAAAACATTTTAGAATATTTGTATAGAAGCTACTGTCCCTGCTCCCGACTGCACCACAAATTCTGGCAATTCAGCCTGTCCCGGGACAAAGATTTGATTAATTCTAAGTGACCCCCTCGTTTGTGCAGAAAGCCTCTCACGTGTTGGACTCATTAATAAATATCGAAGAAGACTTGGTTCAATTCAACAGAGTTCGTAATTGCAGACACACAAGATAAATCCACCGCACACATCCAGGGAGAAGTGATCATTTAAATCTATACCTGCACCCCGCATTATCTGCCCCCACAAGAGCTTGGAGATAAAATGATCGAGCTGATCATTAAATGCCCTCCATTAATAACCAGTGGGAACTCTCTCACACATACACACAAACAGGTTGATTTCAGAACCACAGGAATGCTTCGGATATTGTCATGTATTAAAGTTGCCATGCACCATGTCGTATCAGTCATCTCAAAGCTGAAACACGACATGCGTCGAATCAGGCTTTGTGCACAATCTCTATACAGATAATGATGATGATGGTGATGATGGGAGCGCTTAAGGTTGAGTCTACCTGATGTGGATCCAGATGCCAGTACGCAGAGAGACGGCGCTCCTCTGCACAGTGGTCCGCTCGCTGCCTCCGGCGATGGACGTGCGTCTCAGTGAAGTGCGTCTATGTGTTTTTCTGCTGTTTATTTGATTGTTTGTCCAAGCTTGTCTCCTTTCTCTTCAGATGTATCTGACATCAGCTGTGACCGAGAAGAGGCTCCGTCGGTCACAGTGGCTCCTGATGTGGTGATTGAGATTTTTTTGGATGCAAAGCAGCGTCTGATGTGATGCGCTCTGCCTCCCTGCTTCTCCGTCTCTCTCTGCTTCTGCCTCTTACACTGCGTCAGGCACCACTTCCCCTCCTCCTCCTCCTCCTTTCCATCTCTCTCTCTCTCTCTCCTCTCTCCTCTGTTTGACTGCTTTGACTCTACCTCCCTCCTGCACTGGAATCTCTCTTTCTCTCTCTCTCTCCTCTCTCCTCTGTTTGACTGCTTTGACTCTACCTCCCTCCTGCACTGGAACAGACGGTGATTAATTCGATAGAATCCAGCCTCTTTCCTCCTATAGCTCTGCGCTTCAATCACCTCCAGCCCGTCACTTCTCTGAACTGAAGCGAACAACAGCCAGCTGTTTCGGCATAGAAAAGGGGGGCTTGGACTGCACTTGAAGCTGTGAGATGGTAGCTATTCTCCACAAAGAAAGAGATGGAGTCGTATCAAACTCAATCTTGCAAACTTTTTAATGAACATTTTACAAAACCCAGCTGAGTGGTAGAATGAAACAGGCAAACAGCTTTTTATTTTTTTTCCTGGAGTGATTGATGCACTATATTTTTTTCAAAAACATGCCAGATTGAAAATTTCCGTGCTATCTAAAGTTGGTTACTTTGCTAAATACACAAAAGGACAACAATGTCCCACCAGCATGATACAGTAAGATTAGTAGGAGGCCCAAGCCTCCATGGGGCCCTAAGCGAAATTTGATTTTTGGGGCCCTTTTTTATTTCTGCTAGTAATGTCTGTTTCTGCCATCTACAGTCCATTATTCATTTCATTCAGTGTTCTATTTGTGTACATCAACTGGGTTTCCATTAACCATCAAATTTGCAAATTGTAATTATGTAATTATTAAATACATTAGCAAAATATAAACAATGCAAATTCCATAGAAAAAAAGCAATTTTTCAAATAAAAGTTTTTACAACTGGGATGGTTTTCGGTCACATCAAAACTGCAATGAAAAAACTTATTTCAGATCCCATGAGTCATGTGATATGCAACTGGATCTTACTGCCTTGTAAAAAGACAAAGAAGACCAGAAGAACTTAAAGCTATAGTGTGATGGCGGAGTAGGCCTATAGTTGCATTCAGTGTATTCTCATTATCAGTTCGTATGAAATCGTACGAAAAGTTATGCACCGTAATTTCGTACGTTTTAGATGTTTTTTTGGTGGTATTTCGTCGTATTTTTACGTTTTGCCTCGAGACAAGATATTCTTGCGCATGCGCATTTTACGCACCATTCAATAACAGAATTTAACAGACAATTAACCCTAACCCTGCACCTAACCCTGACCCTACACCTAACCCTAAGATACAAAACAGCAAGCAACGTAGTTAGAGACATGAAGAAGTAATTATTGCACTGTTTTTCCCAGTTTTACGTCCTTCCGCGGATCTACTTTTTTAGTCTGTCTGGTTGCGCATGCTCACTGATCTGTTTTTTCAAGGAAAAACGTCAAAAACGTACAAAATACTGTGCATAACTTTTCGTACGATTTCATACGAACTGGTAATGAGAATATGTTGTTGCATTTGTGAGGAGACTGAGTATGTTTTACATTTAGTTTGAAAAGATAAGCATGAGGACCACTAGCTAAAGCAGTGGCAGTGAGCAGTGGCTAGAATATGGATATATCTCATGTCTTCCCAGCCGCCACTACCATGCTGTCTATAAGAGTTATCGTATTAACAAACACATTCATGTGCAGTTTTAATTGTATTTCTTATTAAGTAAAAATACCACAATTGCCTAAATTTGCATTTTTGAAACTAGCAGATTACTGGCATAGTTTTTGTCATGCTGCAACTAAAAAGTACTGAAATGCGGTCTTCAAATCAGAGAAATAAAATAAATGGTCCTTTAATTAGGCCCAGGTGCACCAAAAGACAACAGGAAGTACTGATATGTAAAAAGCCAGAAAAAACAGGTTATTTCAATGCCATAATCTAACACTGCAAATTATTACAAATAAAATTTGTTAAACTGCCATGATTGTAATAAACAAGATGTTTGTTACATGCATAAATTTACAACAACAAATTATGATTAGTAACTTGCATGATTTTCTATTAAATAAAAAATTATCCACAGAGCATGTGAATGGTTCCAAACATTTATTTCAATTCATTTTAGAGAATTTTTTCAGAAACGATTGAACCAGATCATACAGTCAAATTGATTCAAAATGTTCTACCTAAGGAAAGCTTGCTGATTGCATCGACTAATTTAATCTATGGGGCCAAAATTGTGGCTTTATTTTTTGCAAATTTGTGTGGAGAGTTGTTTATCTGTATCTCGATTTGTGTGTGCAGTGGGATTTGAAGATGTGTAAATGAAACTGTAAATGTGTAAGGAGATTTGTGTGTCTGTAAAACAATCTGCAAATGTGTAAAACCACTTGTGTGTGTAATCCATTTTGCAAATGTGTAAAAAATCCACAAATCTGTATTCAGATTTACAAATATGTACTGAGATTTGTAAATGTGTAAAAAAAATCCACAGATCTGTATTCAGATTTACAAATATGTACTGAGATTTGTAAATGTGTAAAAAAAATCCACAAATCTTTATTCAAATCTACAAATGTGTACTGCAGTGGCTGCGTAATGGGCGGTGAATTGAACTTGGCCCTGCTGCAGAAATGTCACGTACAGTACAATACCGCTAACTGGTGGTATGCGGGTTTAGATGCAGAAAGTTGTGCTGAACTCATGCAGCAGGAAGAGGCACTGTGTGAGCCTATACGCTCAGGGTAGCAAATACAGATATTACACATACAAATCCTCTATGCATTTGCGGATCTCACACGGCAGAAGTGTAGCAAAAATCATGTCTGTAAATGAGAGCCAACCGAGAAACCACTCGACTTTTCATTTCATACAGAATGTTCAAAAGTTGCATTTGTGATATCACTACTTACAGGAAGAGCTAAGCAGTGGAGCACTGTTGAATGGCAAATAATCTCTATCTTTTGTTCATCCTGCTCAGTATTTGTTAAGGGACTCATCTTAGATCCAGTATTTCCTAATCAAGATGCAGCAAGTTTATTATAATTTAAGAGAGGTAGAAGGTCTGTTGCTCAATATATCATTGACTATCATTCTCTGAAATACAGCAGTGGATAATCCAGGTCCAGAAAGTAAAGTAAAAAAAAAAAAAAAAAAACATGCCTTGTTTCCTTTTTCCTTTATCCAATTCACTTGGCCAGGTGATTAGCCCCTCAGGTGTTTAGTCTGTATTGTGGAGCTGGAAATGCAAATTGTTGGAACTGATCCTGAACAGGCCTTTTACTCTCTGAATTACTTAAAATACCTTTAGGATCTCTCTACCCACATAGACCTCCTCCTCTCTGAAAGGAAAAGAAAACGATGTCATGAGGAATCCTAGTCTGTTTTTCCCAGAAAGTGTTTTTTCTCTCAAAAGAAATCTTATCCAGGTTACCAAGAGACCAATCTTTTAACTCATCCTATAACCCCTGAATCTGAAGTATTACTGTTGGGTTACTCCAAACAGTTTGATAAGGAACAATTACACAGGAGACAATGAATGTGTTTCTATTGCAGAGGCAAGCTTAACAAAAAGCTCTGACTGCCAGCTCAAAGGACACTACTGAGCCATCTCCTCATCCTCGATTAGTTTCCCTGCTAAACTTGTGAACTCCTCCAATTCCAATCAGATCTCTCTTTTATTAATTCCAGAGTGACACTCAGTATTTGGACAAATCGTCCGAAAGGAGTCATGGTACCAACTACCTTCCAGTTTTTTTTACTTCTTTGCCTTGCATGGACATCATTTAACCGGGACCAACCAGATAACTAGAAGTTAGGCCTGGTTCTTTGTGAAAACCGTTGGGAAGAGATCAAATTCATGGCCATCCGCTCTCTACACATTCTCATTGTTTTGGGTTCCACTTTTTGTACAGCAAAGCCAGTGACTGCCATGTAAAATCATACCGGGATAGACAAAAACACGCTCTTCTTCCCATTTGTTTTTTGCATGTCATTCCCCTACTCCTACTGATGCCATTGAGTATTTTGCCATAGTATTATGGACTCCTCAGGTACTTAATAAGCCTGGACCATAGCATTACCTCAGCCAGCCCTTAGATTATTCCATAGAAAGCAGCAGGAAGGATGCAGTAGCTTCTGCTTCCACCGCTGGGCATCAGGATTTCACCGCAGCATTCGAATCTTGTGCTAGAAAAATATGTTCTAGAGACAAGCCATAACTTACACTCTCATCTCTATCTTTAAGGAAACCTTCTTTTCCCAGTGCTGGGAATTAGGAGGATGCTATAGACCCTGCTCCTACCACTGTGACTCTTGAAGCTATAACAGCTTTTTGTCCGGTCACAGAGAGGAGCTGAACCTGACCTGCATGGTGGCTCAGTTTAAATCATTAAAGATAGACTCCAAATAAAGTTTCCTTTAGTCCCTGTATTCCAACAGGAGCTCCTCCATCATCTCTAGTGCCATGTGTTAGGGCCCCAAGCAACGAGGGGTTCACCGTGGTTCCAAGTCTTCTTATCTGCAACAGTTTCATAGTTTCCCGGGTTCTATCATTTTAAGTTTTATTATCCTTAGTGCAAGCCTGACAAGCTTTTAGACATCGTGGTCAGGCCTGTAAGATTTCCTCACCTCTAGGATGAGCCTTCCAGGTTTCCAGACCTCAGACCTAATCCTTCAAGATCCAGGCCTCTGTCAGAAACATGCCAAGTTACAGAACTTTGACCCCAAGGCTGCAAAGTTGCCAAACCTATGGCTTGAGTCCAAGCCTTGTCCAGGTTTCAAACCTTGTTTTGGGTGCTACCTGTTGCCTACTAGAGCTCCTATGCTCTCTCTTTGCAGATGTCTTTCTGGTCTCTGCTCAGCCATTGTTGCCAGGAATCAGTTCCTCATCTTTGGTCTCTCAGTGCCCTGTTCGGTTTTCATCCTCTTCTCGTTAGAAATTGTCTTATTTGGATCATTTTCTGGACTGTAGCTATTAGCCTAGTAATAAAAATCTAAAACCCTAAACATCAAATGT